CGCCCCACACACACACACCCTCCCTGCTTCCCTCCGAGGTTGGACGGTCTGTTCGATGCTTCTCTGGATTTATTTTTGTTCATCAGTTTATGCTGTTCAGAATGTACTCTTAAACCCACTGGCCAACCATAGCGCAATGCCTCATCTGGTTATGATCTAATGAGGGGCGTGGCGGGGTGACTCGGGGAAGAGGAAGGTGGACTGAGGGAGAATGCGGCCCTGGGACCCCCACCTGGGCTGTGGCATCACGCAGTGACTTTAACCGACTGTGTCTCACTCAGCTTCTTCCTCTGTACAACAGGGTCGGCGAGAGTCTACCCAGAGGGGTTTTGTAAAAATTTAATGCTTAGTGTTTGTTTTGTTTTTCCAGATTTAGCACGTTTGTTTCACCAAATATTATTATTATTTATTTATTTTTACATTTTTTATTGATTAAGTTATTACAGATGTGTCCTTATCCCCACTCACCAAATATTATGGAGCCCCTGCACTATGCCCTGTCCTGGGGACATGGTGGTGACGAACAGCCTCGGCCCTGTCCTCCGGGGGCTCACAGTCCAGTGGGGGAGACGGCCATCACCAGACAGTGACAACCAGACTGGGCAGGGTTGGGATATAGGGGTTTGACTCAGCCAGGGGGTGAAGGAGGACTTCCTGGAGGAGGGGACATCAACCCCGAGACTTGGAGGGTGGAGATGGGGTGGGTCTCTTTCAGGGCCCTAGCCCAGGTCCTACCCTTGCTCTCTTCCAGGTCCCCCTTCATTACCCATGGAAAGTGTATTAAAACACCTACTGTGTGCATGGTGACGACCCACCCCAGGTCCTTATCTTGGGCAGCCCACCCGGGAAGAGCTGTATGCCCCAGGCTGGGGTGCCGTCCAGGTCTCCACTTCCTGGCTGTGTGACCTTGCACAAGGGACTTCACCTCTCGGGACTTCAGAGTCCTCCTGGGAGCCCTAGGGCCCAGCTCCCAAGGTTCGCGTGCAGATTCTCTTGAGATCACAAAGTCCAAAGCCCTCGGCACAGGGAATGTGCAATACCTTTCAGTTCTCTTTTTCTTTTCTTTTTTTTAAAATATATTTTATTGATTTTTTACAGAGAGGAAGGGAGAGGGATAGAGAGTTAGAAACATCGATCAGCTGCCTCCTGCACACCTCCTACTGGGGATGTGCCCGCAACCAAGGTACATGCCCTTGACTGGAATCAAACCCGGGACCCTTCAGTCCTCAGGCCGAGGCTCTATCCCCTGAGCCAAACCGGTTAGGGCAAGTTCTCTTTTTCAAAGGCGCAACCCCCACCCTGCCCCAAAGCCCTGCCCCAGAGGAAAGAAACACTCAGATTTCTCTATAGGATTTTTATTGGTGGTGGTGGTGGGAGGGAATGTGGGGCATAATGGAGGAAGTCCTCCGAACAGGAGGCCGTGGTGCGGGGGAAATGTTAGAGCCCCCTCCAGGGGCGCAGCCACAGAAGAAAGGGGCAGCCCTCCTGGTGTTCAGGAGAATGTACTTTTTATTGAATCCGTTGCTTCTCTGAATTTATCTGAAAACCAGTCCCTGTAGGGAGAGACGGGGTGGGGTGGGGGATGGAGGAGGGTGGGAGAGGGGGAGTGTCACGGTGTCTTGCCTCTCCTGATGTGCCCAAATCCCGCCGAGGGGTCCCCCGCCCCAGCCCCTGTGGGATGAGGAAGAGCCCTGGGCTGAGTGGCCCAATTTCTGTGCCTCAGTTTCCCAGATGCACCAGAGCTCCTTAAAGTCAGAACACTTTGCCGTGGCCTGGCTTTCACGGCCTGCCATCTCTTGATTCTTGTATGTGTCCTGACCCGGGACCGAACCCCCAACCGTGGGGTACCCGGGGGACGCTCTACCAACTGAGCTACCCAACCTTGGCTAGACCTCAATTTAAAGTGTTATCTCTTCAGAAAAGACCCAGTCACCGCGTCTGCAAAATCCCCTCCCCAGTCCTTGATTGTTTACACACACCCTGTTTACTTCTCAATGCTCGGCTTTGTCTGCGCGGATTCTGGGAATTCACTGGTTTCGTGTGTTCCCCAACCCTCACCCTGCCCCCAGAAGGTCAGAGCCCTGTGGGCTGGGACGCTATTATTCCCCCCACTGGACGAGCTCCTGGCACTTAGCAGATGCTCAATAAATATTTGCTCATGAATAAATGATTCTCACCAAAAGGAGCAATCCTGGTTCATCCCTGTGTTGAGCATTTACAATGTGCCAGGCGCTATGCAAGGGTCCCCTCAGAACCATCCATTTTGCAGATGAGGAAACGGAGGCTCATGCCCACACAGGGAGTAGCGAGTCTTTGCCAGCCTATGGACCCAGATCTGTCCAACCCCCAAGCTTGGATCCTTCACCACCACCCAGCACCCTCTCTCCAGTGTGGCTGGATGGGAGAGTCAGGGAGCCTGTCCCCCAAGCCTGAGCGCCCTGAGATCCAGCTGTGTGACCACAGGGATTTTTGTCGGTTTTCTCAGTCTGTTAATCCATACCCCCCATCCTTCCCGCCTCCGTCCTCCCACACCCTGGGAAGGGTCCTAACCAGTTGATGCTTTCAAAGGCTTTCTCGACCGTGTCCTTCACGTTGCTCCAAAGTGTCTGCACTTTGTCCGGGATGACTGAGTCGGCCTGGGCCGGAGCTGGGCCTGCCCAGAAGAGGAGCAGGAGCGCAACAACTTCAGTCCTGGGAGCCCTTCGGATGAGCTTCCCCGGGTGGAAAAGGAGACCCTTGGATGTGGTTCTTGGGGATCATGGTGTTAGGATGGGAGGGGAGGGTCCTGGAGGGCCCAGGTGGTGTTCAAGCTGCGGAGGATTGCCACCTGCTGAGAGGACCCCCGAGAACCCACCTGGCCGGGTGGTAGTGGGGTGACCAGTGGGCAATAGGGGAACCAGGGCCCAGGTGGGGGCCCCCGAGCTCTCGAGGGTCCTCTTCTCCTGGATCCCAGCTTCATGCTCCCCAATCCCGAGCCCCAGATTCTCCCATCCCACCCCCTTTTACCTTCCAAAACCATCAACAGAGCCACCGCCAAGACCGAGAGCGACAGGATGAGCTTCATGGCTGGGCCGGAGGGCACTCTGGAGGGAGAGGCGGGGTGGGGTGATCCGTGGCGCCCCTCCCCCTCCCCCGGGGTTCCCCCCAACCTTTTCCTTGTGCTCTTGGTGTGTGGAGGCTCCCTCTGGGGCACCGAGCACCAACCTGAATCAGTTGCTGGACAGCAGGGGTAGCAGGTCGCAGGCTGGCCTGGCCTTTATGGTCCCGGGAGGGGGCGGGGCAGGTTCCCTCCCCCTGCGCCTCCCCTGGTGCCTGAGCCAAACACCTTTCCCTCTTACATCCCGGCTGGTGGGGATGGGCGCCAGGTGGGACACAGGCAAGTGCCCTGGCCCGAAGCCTCCTGCTGCTCATTACGCTTCCCTCCAAATCTCCCTGAGTGTGGGGGCCTCCGAGGGCTTCCTGCCCCTCCCCTCCTGCTTCACACAGTCTCCCAGCGTCCGGGGGTCTCTCCGGAATGGTTACTTAGTCACCCCACTCACATGGTGCCCCAGGCCACCTCTCCCATCCCCTCCCTCTTCTTAGCCTCTTTAGCTCTAACAACTCTTTTTTAAAAAATATATTTTATTGATTTTTTACAGAGAGGAAGGGAGAGGGATAGAGAGTTAGAAACACATCCCCACTGGGGATGTGCCCGCAACCCAGGTACATGCCCTTGACCGGAATCGAACCTGGGACCCTTCAGTCCGCAGGCCGACGCTCTATCCACTGAGCCAAACCGGTTAGGGCAAGTTCTCTTTTTCAAAGGCGCAACCCCCACCCTGCCCCAAAGCCCTGCCCCAGAGGAAAGAAACACTCGGATTTCTCTATAGGATTTTTATTGTGGTGGTGGTGGGAGGGAATGTGGAACATAATGGAGGAAGTCCTCCGAACAGGAGGCCGGGGTGCGGGAAATGTTAGAGCCCCCTCCAGGGCGCAGCC